GAAAGCAGCGCAGGCAGCGCTTCTGCTAGAGCAGTCTGAGATGCTTTGACTTGAAGGATTTGAAATGCTTTTCACAGAGGGAGACAGGGAGATTTTAAAAGGTTTAGTTACACATCCACCAGGGTTTTAGTTTCTAAAACTGAAATAATTTCACAAGGTGGATTTACTGATGATGATGCGGTTTCTTTTTAGTGCTCTGGTCAAATACTTCCTTCATGCAGAAGTTACGGTATTTTGGCTTAAACCAATTTTAAAATGTATTTGTTACAAGTTTGTAGGTGCTACCTAAAAAAACCCTCTCTTTTAGAAACGAGCTCTGGTACCTAGCAGTGTGCCTCTGACAATGATTTGAAATCTGGACTTGACAAATGTTGCAAATATTTAGAATTGTTTCCAAAAGTGTTTTGTGTTTTGGTCAGTTTTTAATCGGTTCAAATGTCAAGTTACTCAGGATTCGTCCTAGAATAATTTAGGTTAGAAGGGGTTTCTGGAGGTTCACTGCCATGCTCAGAGCAGGGGTTTCAGTTGTCTTTCTACAAACAGAGTTACGTAGAGCTTCTTCTGTTTTCTTTAAGGGGTCATTTGAGTTACTTCTGAATGTTGATTATCAGTATAGTCTGAGAAAATCAGTATATTCATGCAGCAAATTATGCTGGGCATAATGGGCTGAGCAAAAATGCAGCATACAAACTGTAGGAAAGGTCTGCTGGTGGCTTTCTGGTGGCACTGGTTTCTCTCCAGAACTTGCCCCAGACAAGGCTACCTACCCAATTTCTCCGCCTGCCCCCGCTGCTCTCCCGGCAGAGTCCCGAGAGCGCGCGTGGTGCAGCTGCCTCCGCAGTGGACGGCTTTAGCTTTATGCAGGAGCAGCATCCCCTAAGGCCAGGGGTCGTTGCAGCTCAGGATGGGAAGTAGTTGGAACCCTCGGCCTTTGTAACAAATTCAGGGAAGTTACAGGCGTGGTTTTTATGCCTACATAATTTATGCATTGCTAGGACTACTTCTGATGCTTTAACAATAAAATCTGTTGAAGAGCAATCAGTATAAAACTGTGGAATTGAAGGCATGTGATTCCAGAGAAGGGGGAGGGGGGTGTACTTGGCCATATATGAGTTTTTAAATATTTTACAGAAGAATGGGATTCTCTCACTGTAATAAGAAAACTGATGCTCAGAGGTTTTCACTTGTTAATGTGCGATAAAGAATAAAAGGAAGCCTGATAAAACCCAGTCTTTACGGCTCTTATCCAGTGTGGGATTGAAAGGTGCTGAGGTTTCACGTTCAGTTACATAGTTAGGCCTAAGTTCTCATCGCCTTTAAGTTCCCATCTTCATAAAAGTGTGGCTTTGTTTCTTAGTGGACATACATTTATTTCTGTTTCTTTGTGTCCTCTGACGCCTGGCCTGCACGGCTTTCCTACCAGTAAGACAGGAAGGCTGTTCTGAGAACATTCTTTGTAGTGTACAAAATTAAACCTCTACTACTCAACAGAATTAAATCTC